TTTTTTTGGGTCCCCCTCATGTGTGTGCTAGGTTGAAGGACATGTACATCATTAAACTTACTGGATAAGATCAACTTATCAGTTAAAAGGAATGTATCAATGTACCCTCCCATCCAGTGGTTGGGACAATGCTTATATTATGTCTTATATCATGTAGAATTATAACTATTATGACTATTATAATGACTATTCCACATCCCTATTATTGATACTTCAGGAAAATAAAAGACATTTCAAAATGAGCAGAAAATGTCAGGTGGTAACTATATAAAACTACTGTAAGAATAAAACAGAAAAGGAGAATTCCAACATTTTAGTTAATAACTATACTTTCTAAGAAATCCAACCATGAATCAGAAAAATGCTATGATAAAAGAGCCCCAAATGAATTAAATATCTTTACATAAACACTTACATATATGAAATAATACTCCAAATCATAAATGTGGAAATTAATGGCAGAACAGGACAAAAAATATAAAAAAGAAAAACATAAAATGACAGTTAACTGAACCTAGAAAAAAATGAAGAAAGACAAAACTCTCTCAGAAATGAAGATTTAAGCTGCCCAAGGGAGAGGAGATTTGACTAAATATATATTTGTATATGCGTATATGTGATAGAGAGAGAGATTTATATAAATGTCCATATACTTCCTTATCCATATAAATGTGTGTTCATATAAATGATACATGATATGCAATAAATAATATATATGGATCAGGAAGAAAGTATATATATTTTGTACAAATTCCCTTCCTCAAACTTGGCAGAAGAGATAAATCTACAGACTCAAGAAGCTGGGCAGTGCTCAACAGAATAAACCCAAAGAAATCACACACCTGAGGTATCATAATCAAAATCCCAAAGACTAAAGAAAAAGAAAAAAATATTGAAAGTAGTAAGCTAGAAACAATACCTTACCTACAGGGAAAGGAGAAGATAAAAGGAGAAATCTCAGAACATCAAAAAGGAAGAAAAATGGAAAGCGCAAAAATATGGGTAAATATATAGACTTTTCTTATCCCTTTGAGTTTTCTAATTTGTGTTTGATGATTGATGCAAAAAATCATAAAATTGTCCAAGGTTTTTTTCAATACATGTCGAGGAAATATTTAAGATAGCAGGTGAGGGTAAAGGTCTTAAAGAGAGATAAAGTTTCTAGAATCCACTCAAACTGATAAAATGTCAACATCAACAGACTATGGTAAGTTGTATAAATATCATGCAATCACTAAAACATCTCATCAGAGAGATTCATTCAAAACCATTGTAGGGCAACCCCTTCGGGTCGCCTCCCACTATGAGAGATTTTCTGTTCTCTCAATAAATCCTGCTTTCTAAAAAACAAAAACAAAAACAAAATTGTAGATACAACAAAATGGATTTCTAAGAAATGTTCAAGTAATCCAAATGAAAGAAGTAAAAAGGAAAGGGAAATATGAAAAAACAAAGGGAAAAACCAAAATAACATACTTAAGACCTAACATATCAGCAATTATATTAAAGATAAATTGAGGAAGTTCACTTGACTTATTGTCACAAGGGAGGGCTTTGCAGTATATCTTGAACATAGTAGTGCTTACATGAGTCTACACATGTGGTAACATAGCACAGAGCAATGCCCACGCATTGTACCCAGGTCAATTTCCTTACTTTATTATTGTACTATAGTTAACGTAAGAGGTAGCCACTGGAGGAAATTGAGGGGAAGGTTCAAGGGATCTCTCTGTACTTTATCTGCAACTACCAGTGAATGTTAATTATTTTAAGATAAAAATAATTCTAAATAATCATCTGGAATTTGAAACTTTAAAATATCATAGCAATGGCATTATTTTGAATATAAAATACTTTGTAATAAGCAAGAAATTAAAGAACTAAATAAATAGACATACTGCATTCATGGAATGGAACATACAATATTGTCAGGATGTCAGTTCTCCCCACACTGATCCAAAGGTTCATTACACTCCTGATCAAATACCAGGTATTTTTTTTTTTTTAAAGAAATATACCAACGGATTCTAAAATTTATGTGAAAGTACAATGAACCTAGGATAGTGAAAAACAGAAAAAGGAAATGGAAGAAATGGATAACTTGTAACTTATAATTCCTTATTTCAAAACTTATTGTAACTAGACTACTATTCTTATTTATATATTCAAGACTGTCTTGGCCTAAGTATAGAAAGGTAGATAGAGTTAAATAGAGAATCCAGAAATAGACTACTTAAGTATGGTCAACTGATATTTTATAAAAATGCCAAGGTAATTCAGTAAGGTAAGACAGTCTTTTCAACAGTGGTGCCTGAACAATTGGATATCCATATGCAAAAAACAAACCAAAAATATCTTTGACCCCTATGTCACACCATATATCAAATTAACTTTAAAATGGATTATAGATCTAAACATAAGAGCCAAAACCAGAAAACTTCTGGAGAAAAAGAGCTAGAAAATCTCTGTCACTTTGGATTAGGCAAAGATAGTTTAGATAGCACACAATAAGTTCAAACCATAAAACATCTTTAAATTGCACTTACCAAAAATAAGACATTTGCTCTTAAAATACATTGCTAAGAAAATGAAACATCAAGCTATAGCCTGAGGAAAAATATTTGTAAAACACATATCTAATAGATGACTTGTATCCGGAAAATATAAAGTATTATGAAAACTCAGCAAGACAATAACCAACCTGATTTTTAAAACTTAGGCAAAAGGTTTGAACAATTTTACTAAAAATGATATAAGAATGGTAAGCAAGCATGTAAAAAGATGTTTAGTGTCATTAATAATTAGGGGAATACCATTCCATACCCATAATACCAAATATTGGCAAGGGTGTAAAGAAACTTTAGCTCTCATACACTCCTGGTGGTAAAGCAAGAAAGCAAGGTATGGACTCTGAGAAGATCCTCATAACACTTATAACAAAAGAATTAGTATCTAATGAGAAAGGGATTAGCAGTAGTGGGAAACTGCCAGGGAGGAGGGAGAACACCATATCAACAAGGATACCTGTATAATGAACATTTGTATACCTAACCCTGAATTGTACCCCACTTCTTTAAAATAAAAATTTTTTTAAATAAATAAACTACAATTTAAAAAAGAATTAGTATCTAGATCTCATAAATAAGTCCTAGGAATCAATAAGAAAAAGGCACTGTAATCCCAGTACTTTGGGAGGCCAAGGCAAGTGGATTGCCTGAGCCTGTGGGTTCGAGACCAGCCCGGGCAACTTTGCAAGACCTCGTCTCTACAACAAATAAAAAATTAGCCAGGTGTGGTAGCACATGCCTGTAGTTCCAGTTACTTGGAAAAGTGAGGCAGACGAATTGCCGGAGCCCAGCAGGTGGACACTGGAGCCTGGGCAACAGAGTGAGACTCCAACTCAAAAAATAAAATAAAATAAAATAAGAAAAAGGCAAATATCTCCCACTCCCAGAACAGGCAAAGGAACTCAATATGCAACTAGTATGACAAGAAATCCAGAGTAAGTAAACATGTGAAAAGTTGCTCCGCCTTGCTAAAATTAGAAAAATGTAAATAAGTGCATCAGCATGATGAAATACCATTTGTCATCATCGATTGGCAAAAATCTCAAAGTATGAATATTGCCAAATACATCAAATGAGGACTATCAAATGAGGAAAAGTGGTATTCTCATACTTACTGCTGGTAGGAATGTAAACTGATGCATTCACAAGGAAAATAAAAAGATAGCACTCGCCGGGTTCGGTGGCTCAGCTTGTAATCCCAGTGTTTTGGGAGGCTGAGGTGAGTGGATTGCCTGAGCCCGTGGGTTCGAGACCCGTCTGGACAACTTGGCGCACCCTCATCTCTACAATAAATCAAAAATTAGCTGGGCGTGGTAGCACTCGCCTGTGGTTCCAACCACTTAGAAGGCTAAGGCGGAAAGATTGCCAGAGCCCAGCAGGTCAAGGCTGTGGTGGCCGGGAGCGGCCACTGCACTCCAGTGTGGGTGACAAAGTGAGACTTCAACTCAAAAAAAAAAAAAAAAAAAAAAAGGTAGCACTCAAAAAACAAAAATGCACATACTCTATTACCCAGTAATTCAAAAAAAATGTTTATACATGTGAGTATGAGGACATCTACAGAAATATTATCTGTAATAATGCTGTTTGCAAAGGTAAAAATTGGAAACAAATACCCAACAGTTAAAAATAATATATTAATTCATATAATGAACTAGTATGCAACAATTGAATGGGATAAACTAGATCTAAGGATAGCAGTAAGGGTAGAACTAAAAGAAAGCTGAGTTTAAAAAGCAAGATTTAGAAAGATAATATAGCATAAGATGTGCAACAGATTCATAAACCATTTATTCTCTCCCCTCAACATACAATCCCCTCCCCCCACAATTCATATGCTGAAGTGCTATAACCTCCAGTGTGACTGCATAGGGAGAAAGCTTCTTTGGGAGGTAATGAAGATTAAATGAAGTCCCTCGCATGTGCAGACACAGCAAGAAGCAGGCTGACTGCAAGCCAGGAAGAGGATCCTCACCACAGTTTGAATCAGCTAGCATCTTAATCTGGGACTCTACCCTCCAGAACTGTGAGAAAATTAATTTCTGTTGTTTAAGCCACCAAGTCGGTGGTATTTTGTTATGGCAGCCTAAGCAGACCAATGCAATGTAGTACCATTGATGTAAGTTAAAATATACACAAAATTGTATTCTGTATTGTTTGTGAGTGCACACACATGCATAAAAAACTATCTTTAAAAAGGGCTAGAAGAATATATCCCAAACTTAATGGTTACTCTTAAGTATAGGCAGGTAATGGAACTTACAGTTGGGTTAAGAGATTTTACACTATCTGTAACACAGTTAAATTTCTTAAGAGGAAAAAAAGCAAATAAGGTAAAGTGTTAACAGTGTTTATTTTAACCAAACTTTTCTATAATGCACACATATCACATACCTTTTACAGGTCTGATTAAACCCAAAATTAGTCTTGTCTTACCTTTCCAAATTTTTCGTCTTCTATTACTGCCAACTTTTTCTTCTGCTTATTATATTCTTTTCTTCTCTCCAAAACACTCATAATATTTTCATCAGTTAAGTTCTTCCTAAACTCACAAAACTGAGCCCAGAATTTAAACAGAACCCCAAAAATTGTCATCTGTATAAAAAACAAAGTATGTCTCAGATTACAACTTTATAGAAATGTACCAATTTAAACTTTAATTCACCATAATAACAGATTAACTGTTCTATCTTTAATATACAACGCGTTTCCTCCAACTTATTGTCTCCAGACATCTTGGTATAGTTTAGCTCGGCACATGCTTATCATCATTGGCTTTTATTACCAATGAGAAGTCTTTCTTTAAAAAAAAAAATACACTAAATACACTTAAAAGTCACTTTACTCTTTATGTTTCCCTAACCAATTGATTGTATTAATAAAGAATCCATTAGGTCTTTTAAAATAAGAAATTTATGTTTTCTTTTAAAACATATACGAGTTGGTCTACCACACACTCTGCTGTTTTATGCAAGTATTCCAAATATTCAGTTCATCAATGGAAACCCTCCCACCCACTTTCTTTTAGAGAAAGGAAATACCATTTTGCCTCTGGAAAAGCTCTTAAACAAAGCTAGCAGATCTAAGAATAAATCTTGAGTAACTTTTAAATGATATAATCTCTCTTTTATGTGAGAGCAAGAAAAGTAACATTCAAAAAGCAGAATGGTATCCTGGACAAATGCTTTCTATGAGGATACTTTACACTAAGTGATTAATTGTGATATTTTGAGAGATAAGAATAGTTGCTCTAACTCCCATGCCAAGTTTTCCCATTAGTTCCAGAGGCATACATTACTTCCAAGAAGGTAGGACTTGCCACATCAGATCAAGTCCAACATATTATTGCTAGGAATGGCCTTTACCTAATGCCCTGGAGAAAAACGAACCATCCCATTAGGCTCCAAGCCAACTCTTAGGGGAAAAGAGAAATTTTTGCAAAGTAAATGCTGCAGTGATCCACAGAATCTTCAATTGGCATATTTCATTACTCCTCTCTTCCATACATGAATGTTATTAGTAATTCTAAAATTATTCACTCCTTTTAAAATATTAAATCTGATAGCCTCCTGGGAATGTATATGTAAAATCTAGAGATATTTTATTTGATGAAATGCAGGCTTTTAAGAAATGTTCACATAACATTTACCTGCTATTCATTAATTAGGTTATCCACTGTTCCAATGTTAAGGGATCATGGAAGCTTTTATTATGAACTTAAGCTTAAATATTCCTCTTTCTCTATTTACCAACTATTAACCATACCTCTCGGTTATCATTTCAAAGCTTGACATTCCCAGTTCTCAAATACTAGTGGTGCCAAAAAAATGTATACACATTTTAAAAGATGTTATCTATGTATTACTTTTCGAAGCTGAATTGAATTACAGTAGCAACATGTAGTATGACATTCCCTCAAAAGATGGTGTTAATCAAATGAATGCAAGTGTCATCATGCAACAGACAGGACAAAGAAAATGGCGGAGGCATGGTTGTCATTCGGGGAGCAAGACCATTCTGAAGTGGTATTTGAAATTTGGAAATGTTGTGGAAGTACAACAATGGAGGTGTGAGTATGCAATAGAACCTCCAACACGCCTAACAACCGCACAAATCTGTGATAAGTTTGAGATGCATGATTCTGTGTGTGATATGCGCAAGGGAAGATTCAGGAGGCCTCACACAGCAACAAGTCCTGCAGTAGTTTGCTGTAATCCAGTGTCTGGAGGCTGCTAGTAACCACTTTGAGCACCTCTCGTAATTGCAGAAGTCAAACATGACTTGTATTCATCTTTTATCAGTATATATTGAGTATTGCAATTTTAATATAGTTTTTTCCTTTCTTGAAATGTGTATACATTGTATACATCTTTTTGGCACCCTCTGTATATGTATTTCCATCTAGAAGTATTTCCAGTCAAAGCCACCCAATTAGGACACAATTTTTCAATGGAAGACATAAAATCTCTCTATTCCCTAAAGTTGCAAGTGAGGTTTTAGGTTAATATTTACTGTTAGTGAAAATTACCCTGTACCTCCAGAACCTTAAAAGATAACCAAATTGGGGGTAAGAAAATGTTTTCATAAGTATAGAGTTACTTTGCTCACTACCAGTGGATGAACAATGGCTTTAGCATAAGTAAAAGGGGCCAGTGAAACTGGCTGAGTGACGAAATCTTTCAGGCTTTTGGAACTGAGGGATAGGCAAAGGCTACACTGATAACAGTGCTGAAACAGCAGTTTTCTACTTACTATTCAGCTATTTTGTTCAACTTTGCTCTTATTTCCAATTTGATCTTTTTCCTTTCTGTCATGATACATCTCTTGTCACATCATTCATTCATGTGTCTTTGCCAGGTAGTTGGTCCACAAAGATAAATAAGAATCATTCCCTGCCCTCAAAGAGGTTACGATAGAATGGGAAAGTCAAATATGAGAACAGCCACTTTCAATTTAGTGTGATAAGTGTTGTGACAGGGACAAAAGCAAGGGCGAGAGAATGAAACTGTAAAAAGTTCAGGAGGGAAAATAGCAAGGACCATTTATGGATCTACAATATTTCAGTAAGACTGGGGCAGAGATGGCAGGGAGTGCCTAAAGATGTAACTAGAGAGATGTGTAGGAGTATGGACTTCATTCTGAGGGCATTGGGGAGCAATTAAAATATTTTAAGCAGAGAAGAGACATGATCAGATATACATTCTGAAAAAGATCACCCTGTCTGCAGTGAGTTGAATGGTTTGGAGAAAACCCAGAGGCAGGGAGATTTGCTAACAGATGTGAGACTTTGCAGATCCAAAGTGAGACAGTAGTGTGGAGATGGAGAAAAGTGGATAGAATGACAGATAACAAGGATAGACAACAAATAGGTAAGTTTTAGAGACTGATTAGATGTGGGAGTAAGGGAATGAGGGAGAGGGTAAACATGAAGATGGTTACCAGACCTCTGACTTGTATACCTAGGTAGGAGCGCTCCCTTAGGAAAACAGGAAGAATAACATACTCAGTGGGATAAGGTCCCTAAATAAAGATTTTCTATTTTCAGTGGGATGAGGCCCCTAAATAAAGATTCGCTATTTTCAGATTCTTCAAAAAAGTCTACATTTAAGATATATCTAGGACTCTGTTTTAGAAAATCAGGTAGAAGTTGTAGGTTAGAGGACTCTAATAAAATTATTTGGCTGCAGTCTCTGAAGTGTGTGATAGAACCAACCAATGTCTTCAGCTTTAGACGTTTACAGTCAGATCCGAAGCCTCTGATATAGACATAGCAAGTCCTAGCCTGGTTAGCTGGAGGCCTAGGCTGGGTTAAGTTATCTCTAAGATCTTTTCATTAACAGATGCTACAATCCTGACACCATGTTTTCTCTACTGCTCTCCAGCACATCCTCAATCATTCCTCTATATTTCTGCCTATTTTAATGCATAATTTGGATTTCAAGTCCACTTTCAGTTCCTGAAAGGACTCAGAACACAGCTGGCTCACAAATGCATGTTCAGGAATAATGGCCTTTTTCCATGCTCAAGGGTAATCTTACCCTAAATCTCTGTTTCATATCACTTAATTCATGACATGGTCTTCTCTATTACCCCTATTATAATTTATTTTTCTTAATCATTTTTTAGGAACAACATCACTAAAAGGCTTTTCAAAATGCAAATAAATTATGTTCACCAAGTCACTGTTTTCTATTATTTATCTTGAAAAGAAGTAACTTGAGCAGGTTAACAGGCATGATTTTCCTTTCATGAGTTTGTATACTTTATGTTGGTAGAGTACTTAAATCTCCTCTCACTTATTTTATGAGTTATGTGAATATTCCAATCTTTAAAAATACACAAATCTTTGGATACACATATTTTACACATTTTTGTTTTAGCAGATATTTCCAAAGGAAATACGAATGGTGAAAAAGAAAGGAGGAATTAGCTAAGTTTTATAAGTTAAAAACAAAAATGGCAATCATGGGAAGTTATAGTTTTTAATTTTATTTACTATTTATTATCATCAACAAAATAGCATGTAAGTAACCGTTTCTTATTTTCAGTGGCATATACAAAGATTTTTATTTATTTAATTTGAGTCGGGGTATTACTCTGTCACCCAGGATGTAGTGCAGTGGCATGATCACGGCTCACCACAACCTCGACTTCCTGGACTTAGGCAATCCTTCTGCCTCAGCATTCTCAGAAGCTGGGACTATAGGCATGCACCACGACACTCAAGTAATTTATTTTTTGTGGAGATGAGGTCTTGCTATGCTACCCAGGCTGGTCTCAAACTCCTGGGCTCAAGTAATCCTTCCGCCTTGGCCTCCCAAACTGCTGAGATTACAGGTCTGAGTCACTGCACCCGGTCCAAAGATTTTTAAATTAAATAGATTAAATCCCATTATTGGGAGGATTGAAATCTTGCCAAATATGAATAATGCAAGAGATTTAAAAGAATATCTAGCTTGTAATTCTATTTTAAAGTATGTTTAGCCTCATGCCCTGATCTCTTACCTGTGCCTCTCTAAATATATACGGTCCTAACTCCTTCCTGTGTTCAATGATCTTCTGGGCTTGTTCTACAGGAATGTCAATTTGCAGAGCTGGTGGAATATTGGAATTAATAAAGCAGTTGATAATAGTTGTGATCTTCTTCTGGATGACAGACTCATCACAATGAGAATGGCACAAGTCCTGAACGAGGAGGAAGAAAGACAGAATACCATATAATTAATGCATTACTAGACCACTTTATAAAACTGTGTCAATATGCATTTCAATTCATATATACATTTTAACTTCAGGTCAAGTGGGCACTGGGACATGTCAAAGCTATCTTTAAAAAAATCATAGCTTTTCTTTCTCTTGGATTTGAGGATCCTAAGACTTTGATACATATACTTATGTAAATACAGATTTCATTTCATCACTTGTTCCCCTAAGCAAAGGAAAAGCACTAGTGTTTACTTTGACCCATTTAACAAATCTATATTGAGTGCCTGCTATCTGACAGACACTAAGCTGTGCCTCAAGACAAGTCCTTTCCCTTTTAAGGTTCAATTTCTACTGAGGGAGAAGTATTAAAACACCCTACTCTGATTTTGGATAGTTAATAAATGTTATGTATACAGAGGGTCCTAGGAAAGCACTGAGAACAGGCACCTAATGCAGTCTATAGGTGGATATAAAAACTTTTCTGTTCAGAACTGCTTCTAAACCAGGATAATTTAGGCTCAAAAAGACTAGCAACATGAATGAACAGGCTGGTAGTGAATAGGTGTGACATTCCGTATCTTTTAGTATCTACATTGCTTGTTACCCTGTCACATTATCCTCTTCATAGATAATGCAAAAATAATGATTGTACATTAAAACGAGCCAGTTTTAAATTCACAGATGTAAGATTATCATTTTCTTTTTAACTAAAGAGGTCGCTTAGCAAGAATTATGGCATTTCTCTGTCTTTTTTCTAAATCACCAGAAAGCACACAAACTTGGAAGCTTCCAATTTTAGGCTAGAAACGAGCCAACCTTTACTAAGTACCTAGTATACGCTGGGCATTATAATAGCTGTCTCATGAATACTATGAAAGAAGGAAAAATTCTAGTGCCTGTCATGTAAAACTGTATGTATAGTTTGGCATAAGTTATGTGTGAAAACAGCTTAATATAAAAGTTACATTGTGACAACAGCTAGCACTTATTCAGTCTAGCATTGCCTCAGAAAAAGCCTATTTACACCATATGTTTGGTTCATTACCAAAAATACATTTTTGACATTTCTAGTAGGATTATCATATCTTTAATTTTTAAATTTGTATTATTTCATTTTTTTAGAAGCAGAGTCTTAGCTGAGTGCAATGACTCAAGTCTGTAATCCCAGCACTTTGGGAGGCCGAGGTGAGGGATTGCCTGAGCCCACAGGTTCGAGAACAGACTGGACAACTTGGTGAGACCTCATCTCTACAATAAAAATTTAAAAAATTAGCCAGGTGTGGTAGTATGTGCCTGTAGTTCCGGCTACTTGGAAAGCTAAGGCAGTAGGATAGCCTGAGCCCAGTAAGTCAATGTGGGGATGGCTGTGAGCATGTGTGCCACTGCACTCCAGCCTGGGCGACGGAGTGAGACTCCAACTCAACAAAAAGAAAAAAAAGAAAAGAAACAGAGTCTTGCTCTGTTGTCCAGGTTAGAGTGTAGTGGCACGTTCTTGGCTCACTGAGCCTCGACCATCCAGGCTCAAGCAATCCTCTTGCCTCAGCCTCCCAAGCAGATAAGACTATAGGCATGTGCCCAGATTTTTTATTATTATTATTTTTTGTAGAGATGGAGGTTCTTGCTATGTTGTCCAGGCTGGTCTCAAGCTCCTGGGCTCAAGTGACTCTCCTGCCTCAGCCTTCCAAAGCTGAACGCTGGATTTACTGGCATGAGCCACTACATTCAGCCAGCTGGGAAAAATTCTTATAAAGAGATCTGATTGTATGGATATGCCGAATGTGGATATCTTCAGGAAAAAATGTGTACCGTACATAAATGATATATAGAAATGTAGCTAAAACTCTCTTCATGATGGCTCTCATTAAGTCATAAGTATGTTAACACCCTGAAAAACTGAAAAACTTATCTAAAATGCTTGGGACCAAAAGTGCTTTGAATTTTAGAATATTTTCATTATACTGACCAGTTGAGCATCCCAAATCTGAAAATCCAAAATTTGACATGCTCCAAAATCCAACTTTTTGATGCCAAAATGATACTCAAAATAAATGCTCACTGGAGAATTTTAGATTTCAGATTTTTTGATTTGGAATGTTTAATCTATACTATCATTCCAGAGCTCACTCTTACTCTTCACCATATGATAATAAATGTATCTGGAGATTGGGCAATAAAAATTCCAATATTTATATACTGGTATAAAGAAGAAGACAAAATTGGGATATCTTATACAAATCTTGTCCATAAAGTTACAGTTAAAAATCTGATACTAATGCATTTCCTCCTCAAAAACAGGTGGTTTTCTCCAGTCCCAAATATGATACCTTATATTTTTGTACTTCTTGCCAAAACAGTACCCCATTTTCCAGTAAATCTCCTTTTAGAGCCACAAAACGTTGAAACTGTCTTGCAACAATTGGATTCAATAATGCTTTGCGAAAAGCAATAATTTCACAAGACGAAGAGATCCACTTACTCTCCACTGGCTGTCCAAAACAGAGAATACAGAAAATTAGCTGTGTGATAAAAAGTAATAAAGTCATTAATTAGGCTAAAAACTACCAACTTCTATCTCCTTTAATGCTGACTGTTGAAATTTGTAGCATGGATAAAAGAGAACTTAGCAACAACCCCCACCCCAAGTCCTGTTTTTCTCTCTTTTGTTTTATTTTTTAAGAGGTAGAGAGAAAAAAAAATGACCAGACAAACTTACAATATATTGTTTAAGAGTGTTAACAGAATGTTACATTTTAAGACTATGGTGGTGCATAGTGTGAGTTTGCAGTTAAACAGAACAAAGTAATCCTAATGTTATGATTACATTATTACATTATTATTTTATTATTATTATTTTTTGTGGGGTACAATTCAGGGCTAGGTATACAAATGTTCATTATGCATGTATCCTTGTTGATGAGGTGTGCATATTTTATTATTATATATGTTATATATTAACATACGATTCTCCTGTCTTTTAAAAAGTAAAAGTAGTTAAACATAAGACATTTTTTTCTATTTTTTAAGAAAAAAATTGTCAATTCATTTTATAATTTAAAGAGAAAATTTGCTATAGACTTAAGCTTCATAATTTCATTCTGAAAAAATTATGTTTTTAGGTGAGAAATGTTTTTATTATTTTTATTTTAACTTAATAAATTATGATTAATAACTAAGAACAATAAACAATCTTTTTTTTTTTGAGTTGGAGTCTCACTCTGTCGCCCAGGCTGGAGTGCAGAGGCACACTTCTGGCCACCACAGCCTCGACCTGCTGGGCTCCGGTGATCCTTCCGCCTCAGCCTTCCAAGTAGTTGGAACTATAGGCGCATGCTACCACGTCCGGCTAATTTTTTGATTTATTGTAGAGATGAGGTCTCACCAAGTTGCCCAGGTGGGTCTCGAACCCATGGGCTCAGGCAATCCACTCACCTCACCTCAGCTCCCAAAGCACTGGATTGCAAGCTGAGCCACCGAGCCCAGCTAAAAAACAATCTTTATTAATAAATTATTTTTAGTAATAAAATTCCTCTGAGAATTTATTTTATATAATATAAAAACCAGGCGCACCCATGGCATTTCAGTAAAGCGTAAACGTATTTTTATCTATATTTATTTTATACTTTCACAGTTTTGAAATATAAGGTATCTACTCTTTAGCTTTGACCATTTAATCACACATTTCTCCCTTTAGCATCTCAGATTAAAGAACATAGTAGATTTTACTGAATTTGCTGAATAGACTTTAATTTTATTGACATTTCCCAAAGCTGACTTTAGCATACAACTGTGCAAGGAAGCATCTTTCCAAAGGCAATGTTTTAGATGGACTTAGGAATTATATTAATTAAACTACATGAAAAATATCCATTACTTACAATGCATAAAATAAATTCTTGAAACAAATTATATGTAACCATCAATATAAGTATTTAGAGAATTATGTAAAAAAGTGCTGTGGTAACACAGAAGAAGGAGTGACTAATTCTGCCTTAAGATCTTTACAAAGTAGGGACTTGAAGATGACATCTAAACTGGAAACTGAAAAGTCAAGCAATCTAGATGGTTGGTGGTACCATTAATTCAGATGAAGTGAACAGATGTCTATCACTATTTTAATGAGGTACATGTCATGTTCTCTTGACAAAAAGTTAAGACCCTCACCATATGGTCCATATTAAAATTACAGCGCTATAAATAGGAATAACTATGTATAAGACTGGGATGTTTATTTAAAACCCACTCAGGAAATAATGTTTTAAGATCTGCTTCTTAAGATACTAAAACTTAGAAATTTAGATAAAACCTGTAATTTAACTAAGCAGAGAATAATATAATATGCAATGCACGATAATATAAAATATATGTCCATTCTACTTAGTATTTCAATAAAAATATAGCAAAAAAACCAAACAGTAATAAAGTGTCTTTCCTTTTAAGGGAAAAATGCAGAAAAGAGCATATTAACAGTTACATACATTTCTCTAATATTCAAATAAATTTTTATCTTTGTTGGTTTGCAGAGGGTCACCTGGGTCTAGCTAGACATTCTATCACAACCTTCAGAAAGATAAATACACATAAACTTGTAGACTCTGAAGTCTATGTTTATTGTGCTTGTTATAAAGCAAAATAGGCATCTTCTAGCAAGGTATCATACAGTGGTTTTAATAATCACCAAAATGAGAGTTATCATAATTCTTTCAAAGCTGAGGTGGAAGTCTATCTTTTTGTGTGTTTGCTTTTTGATGTTTTTTATTTTTTATGTGTGCTCCCATTCTGTAAAGTGGCTTTGTGAGGACATCTGGGAGCAACACGTGGTTATAACTAAAATTTAATTCTAAATAAAGGGGATAATGTAAGGTGATTTAACCTGGTGATTCTGCTGCATACAACTCATTGTTTTTTGTGTAATCCACTCTCAATAATAAATAAACTACCATATGCTGGAATGAACAGCTTGTCTCAAATCCATCACAGGCAGAATAAAGAAAAATACATGATTAAAGGCAATCATACACTTGAGCAGGCCAAGGATCTCTTTAAGAACAAAGCTCTGGTAGAGTCCCAGTTGCCTTCAAATCCCACCCGCCAATTAAGGACAGTACTAGGCAACGTCTTTCAGGTCCCCTCCGCTGTGGGAGATATTCTGTCTTCTTAATAAATCCTACTTTTAAAAAAAAAGAACAATATTGGTGATCAGCTGGTGGTTTAGAAAGCAGTGTCCACAGTGAGGGTCTTTGAACAAGAAGGGGAAGGAAAAAGCACACTTTAACAGAGAGAAACTTATAAGAGGAAAAATATAACAAGGATTACTTGCCTTCCAGACCCCAATTTTCCTTTCATGCTTTTGTAGTAAGAGCTCTTCTGCTACATCTTTCATCTGTACCTAAAAGCAAAATCAATCATTTTAACACAGAATGTCTAAAGTTTTGAAATTATTTACTAACTTGACAGCTTTAAAAAATGAGGTCAGGTTGGATAGGACATAGTGCAGTTCAAGAGAAAGAGGATCAAACTTAGAATAGAAGCCATGCGGTCAGGTTCCAAGTTCTCTGAACACCATTTCCACCTCTTCAAATTAGCGATAATAATACTTGACTGTATTGCCTCAAATAGTAATGATGGTTTCACACTGGCTCACGTGGGAACTAAAGCTGGAGGTCTCATCAAGTTGCCCAGGTTGATCTCGAATCCCTGGACTCTGGCAATTTTTTAGCTATACTTCCACAACTAATTGTAGAACACACAAGTTAGTCAACACAGAAGGAAACAGTAGATATTTCTTGGAGTTAATGTCTATTCATAATATTTCCCCTTTTGTGAGAACCACTCCTGCCAAATCTATGCTACTGACTCCACCTTTCTGTCCACAGCAGATAGATCTAGGAGCTAAACAAGAAAGATAAGAACTAGAATCACTAAGGCTGAATCTTTTGGATAGACACAGCCAGGAGAAAATACCTAAGAATCTTTGGAGGGTTCCTATGGCTGTCCTGGTCTACGCCTTTTCTAAAACTTGGGCATCTTTAAGTGTGTGAGATTGCCCCAACACCATTATAGAGTAAATTCACACCCCTCCTTTTTGACTTTGGCTTACAGTTGCTGGCCACCCAAAGAATGCCAAATTAGGAAATGATGAGTTACAATAAAATTACTGTAGAAAACAAAATGAGAAAATGTGATAAATAATATTAGTAAGCCAAACATCCTTTTGCTTGGCTTTGGGTGGAGAATTGGAAATAGCCTGAAGAAAGAGAATGAGGAGATTTGCATTTTCCCAAAGCTTATTTCCAGGAACTTTTGCCTAAAACAAGCCAGCTCTTCTTATCCATACTATAAATTGTGTTCCCAGCTGTATTGTGTTTTCCTAACTAAGTTGCTCAGCTCAAATGACTAAGGATGTTCCCAGATAAGTTGACCTCAAAGCACTTAAGAAATTGAATAAGGAAGAAAGCTTTTTCAGGTTCTTCCTGGTCAGTATTCATGACATGTAGTTTTGCAAACTAAAGTCCAAAATTACATGTTTTCTGACCCTTGTGTTATTTTTGTAAAGATCAGGGTTACCTGTTTTTAGGTGTATTAATGACACTTTAAATTTATCTTTTTTTTTAAACGGGTTTCTCACTCTGTCACCCAGGCTGAAGTGCAGTGGCATGCTCACGGTCACTGCAGTCTCAACCTGCTGGGTCCAGATAATCCTTCCATTTCAGCCTTCCAAGTAACTGGAACTACAGGTGCCCACCACCACACCCGGTTATTTTTTTTATTTATTTCAGAGACAAGGTCTCATCAAGTTGCCCAGGCTGGTCTTGAACCCCTGGACTTTGGCAATACTCTAGTCTCTGCCTCTCAAAGTGCTGGGATTACAAGCATGAGCCACCGCAACCGGCTAACGCTTTAAATTATCAAAGTAATACTTCTTGTCAAAGAAAAACAAAACATAGCGAAAACAAGCCTACTCTAAAGGAAAGAATAAAAATCTCTCTCACTGCCCAAACCCATTCCCAGGAAACAAATAATTTTAGATAGTTTTCCTTAAGCATAAACATAAAAGATTGATAGATAAATGGATGAATGGATGGATAGATATGCATAGATAAATATCAAGCTCTAAGTAGATGTAGTGGTATTACTTTCTACATATTGTTCTGCATCCTGCTTGTTTCACTCAATAAGTTATGTCTTTCATATAGTACAAGTGGACATTTCATTTTTATGTTTTAATATCATTTTATATGAAAATCTGCATGGTTTTCCACAGTATGGAATTATCTTTTTTTTTTTAGTTGGAGTCTCACTTTGTCACCCAGACTGGAGTGCAGTGGCCATTCCCAGCCACCACAGCCTTGACTTGCTGAGCTCCGGTGATCTTTCTGCCTCAGCCTTCCAAGTAGCTGGAACTACAGGCACGTGTTACCACGCTCGACTGATTTTTTGATTTATCGTAGAGATGAAGTCTCACCAAGTTGCCCAGGCAGGTCTCGAACCCGCGGGCTCAGGCAATCCACTCACCTCAACCTCCCAAGGCGTGGGATTACAGGCTGAACCACCGAGCCCGGCTTATGGAATTATCTTAATTCATTTAACTCTTCCCCCATATGATACTGAAATAAATGTCCTTATATACCCTTAGTCCCTTTGTGTACAGACTTAATAATATTAAAAATAGCAACTACATTAATAGACATTTGAGTGTTTGCTGGGTGCCAAGCACCATGCTAAGAAATGAAACACACATTGATTTCATTTCATTTTCATAATCTTATGAAGCAATTATTATTATTAGCTCCATCATTCAAATGAGAAAGCTACATTTATGAAACATAAAAGTGGTACAATTAATATGTGTTGAGATTAAAATTTGGCAGTCTGAGCCGGGCATGGTGGCACGTGCCTGTAGGCCCAGTGACTTGGGAGGCTGAGGCAGGAGGATCACTTGAGCTCAGGAGTTCAAGGCTGCAGTGTGCTGTAATCATGCCTGTGAACAGCCACTACACTCCAGCCTGGGCAACACAGCAAGACACCATCTCAAAACAAAACCAAAAACACTTGGGAAGTCCGACTTAATACTTTTAACACTATCAACAGAAGTACAATGGCTGGATCAGCAAGTATGCACATGTGAGGTTTTGGTAGATACTGCCAGTTGCTATCCAAAGACCATACTAATTTACATACTTTTATCTTTTGACGTGCAGCAAACTGTTCACTTGCAAGAAACAATGGCAACCACACATTTTCTAGCCTATTTAGGACATGCTTTTGAACTTCAATTAGAACAGGAGCATCAAGTTGCTCATGGAGAATCTTCCCCCAGCCACCACTTGAACGCATTATCTAAGAAAATAAAAATGAGATAGAAACTATAAACTTGTGCTAAAAATAGTCATTAATTCGCTCATTCACTTTAAAACTACTTGCTGCACACCTGATAGGTGCCACAATTTTCATTTTCTGTATAGCGTCTCCTGGCTATAATATTATGTACAGTAATCACAGATAACTCCCCTAACATCAGACAGACAATTGTGGTTTATGTGGCAGTTGTTTTAGATGTATGATTGGACTTATAATATATTAAAAAGAACACATAAATGGGGTGGGGTTTTTATACTGCATGACCACAAGCAATGACATATTTTTCTTCTCCATGAACTCGTATCTTAACTGTAAAATGGGGACAATGGCCTATCAGTGTTCTAAGTTCTCTTCTATCTCTAATCTTCTTTTTTTTTTATTATAAAGATGTGGGGTACAATTCAGTGTTAGGTATACAAATGTTGATTATGCAGGTACTCTTGTTGATGAGGTATGCCCCTCCCTTCCCTAGCAGTTTCCCTGAACTGGCAATCCCTCCTCTCCCTCCTCTGACAGTTTCCCACTAGGGATTCTCAGTTTGCCAATCCCTTTCTTATAGTATTATAATAATTGTGCAAGGTCCGCTTATGAGTGAAACATATGGTACTCTGTTCTTTGTTTCTGTGATAGGTCACTGAATATGATCGACTCTAAATCCATCCTAGTTGCTGCAGAGTCCATATGTTTGTCCTTCTTTATGGCTGCATAATATTCCATTGTGTATATGTACCACATTTTTTTAATCCAGTCCAGCTTCGATGGGCAACATGGTTGGTTCCAAGTTTTTGCTATTGTGAATAGAGCTGCAACAAACATACGTGTGCAGGTATCTTTTTTGTAGAATGATTTGAGTTCCTCCAGGTATATTCCCAAAGGGCTATTGCTGGGTTATCTCTAATCTTCAATGAATCTGTGATTCTAGACAAATTGAACCACTTGAGAAAAAATTTCATCTTATGGATAAAGAAAATGAAGTATTAATTGGTTAAGAGATAACCATGACCCAGATATTGTAAGTACATATATCAAACCAACAAATATTGGGTTGGAGGTGGCAGGGTAACGGTAGCAGGAACAACATAGGGCTGTTCCAACAACTTCTAAGAAGAAAACAGAGGTAGCAGGAAGCAGAGAAAGGTCAAGTTTTATAGGTAATTGACTTGCACAGATAGCACCACATATAAAACACAATTTCTCTGTGGTCCAGCTTAAGTATTGGCTTCAGCTTAAGTATTGGCTTCGGCAAGCTACTAATGGCTATTTCCTGTTGTAACCGATTCTATTTTTTCCCTGTTTCTGTGTGCACACTGATAAAAATCTCTGGATTGCTCACTGGAACAACTGTCCTCTTTTTAGTTCTCCTTTGATTAATAATATTAATAAAACACCACTACTAATAATATTGTTTTATATAAAAACAAAAAAATCCTCTTCTCAGTCCTTCTTGATAATATCAATGAAATAATATTATAATAATATTGTTTTGCATAAAAAAGAAGAAAAAGAAAAAAGACTACCTTGCTAATCAAAGAGCAAATTGGCCACACAACTGAAATTAGGACTCACATGATCTTTATAAAATTTAATGTGATGCAGACATCCTTAAGTGTAAAATAAATGAAAATGTAATGACAAAGATGAATAAGGGTCATTGGGAAAATTCCTCTGTAGTAAGTTCATCCATTTGCTGTGACAGCAATGGGTGACTTTCACTGACTTAAATTCTCAGTATGTTGTATGTACTTTGGAGGGTTCACACAGTAGCATCAGATACCATGAAACCTCACGCAATGTAGCACAAGCCAAATAGAAAACAAATGCTTTCCATGTGTTTATTTCATTCTTGTGCTTATTGAGATACCCAACTACTTTTGCTAATATGTCCCAGATTTGTATCCTGGGAACTAACAAAAAGGCATTTTTGTCAAAGTTGCTTAATTCTAGAATTTCTGCTCCCTCCTACTCCCAAAGACTATTCCTTACTTTCCCTATACTAAAGACCTAGCTTTTAAATTTGTTATGCCCTACTTGTGAGCCTCTCTGAATTTTTCTTTAAATTACTGAACTTAACATTAATCTGAAATTTGGATTTTATAAATACATGCCATTAGGACTTGCATTCTTGTAAACTATCAAAATAAAAAAAATCATATCTTTAAGTGTTAATGTAGTACTAACAAACTTCTAACTAAATTATAATATGTAATTCTTTGTATTTCAAAAGTATAGAAATTGAGCCATACTTTATTAAAAATGTTACATGAATACAAACCCACTGCTGAATTTCAATCTGATAGTTTTGCTGTCAACCTAATAATACTCATTATTAATAAGGTGTGATTAAGGCCAAAGAACATTGGTCCAACAAAATGGTCAAACTTGTGTTTCTTGTCAGTAAAAATAGTTTCAGAGACAATATAAATGTAAACATAATTTTCAAGGATTGAATCTGTTTGGAGTAATATCAGCTAAGAGAAGAATAGGAAAGAGCATAGAGGTTAGGCTTACTGGTTGGTAATGGTTATTTTCCTACTTGTTGACAGGTGCAGGGACCTTGACTACCTTGTTCATCACTTATTGTGAGCACCTAGAACAGTGTCTGGCATATCATTGGTACTCATATTTGTTGAATGAGTGAATGAGCAAATGAATAAAAGTTATGCTTATTTTATAAATTTCTTTTGAAAGTAACACATTTAATATTATGTAACACTTGTGTGAATTTTAAAGATATTTAATTTATAGATACTTATGGATACCTAAATAAATATCAAAAGTATCTAACATATAAGTCAATAGAGCAAAAGAAAAGAAAAAAAGAGGCTTTCAGGGTTTTGGCAAATAGAAATAATTACTGGCTTTCATAGGTTAATATAAAAAATAGACTTGCATGTTGATACCTGATCCTGCTGATATAGAGAAGCTGGACTGTTGGGTCCAAAGAAATATTTTTTATTAAGGTATTTGTTTTTAATGTATATCGATTTTCCCTCCCTTTGATTTCGATCTCTGTAAGTTATTCTTCGGAACTGCTCAATGTCTGTCCAGCACATAAGGTCCATGCTAAAATGGAAACAAAAACAAAGTACAGCCCTTCTTACTTATTTCTCTAAATTTTAATAAACATCAAACAGATTGTTGTTTTGACAGAACTCAGAAAGTGGCTGTCTTGACTAGTCAGCCCAACTAATTAGATCATGGAACTAATGAGTACAATATTGTATCTCTTATCCCTTTCAGTTTGGTTGACTCTATTATACTCCTAATCCTGGCTAAATATATGAATGATGACAAAGGAGTACCAGGATCAGAAAAAAAATGTATCATTATTGGCAGGGTCTCAGAGTTCTCCCATTAATGTTTAACTAGCAGCATCAAGTTCAAAAGTAAGAACATTTCCACATGGCATATTTGTTTGACAAAAGGTGAAATTTACCTGAGGGCTCAGGTGAGACCTCATCTCTACAATAAAATCAAAAAATTAGCCGGGCGTGGTAGTGCACGCCTGTCATTCCAGCTACTCAAAAGGCTGAGGCGGAAGGATCGCCGGAGCCCAGCAGGTCGAGGCTGCGGTGGCTGGCAGCGGCCACTGCACTCCAGTCTGGGCAACAGAGTGAGACTCCAACTCCAAAAAAAAAAAAAAAGGTCAAATTTAAAATAATCCTCATCACAATGAAGAGGAATTATATGCAGTGAAATTTGGCTCCCAGGTCTAACCAGTTTCTGTTAGCTTGGAAGAAAATTAACAGGAAAAAAATATAATCAATACTTCAGTTGGTATTAGATAAATATGTTATAAAGTTCCAAGATTCTGTGTAAAACCACAATGTTTCCTCTATATATCAGTTAGTAAAAATTATATAATATTACAATAATTTCAAACTTAGTGAAATATTTAAAAGATACATTACAGAAGTAGTAATTAAAGTACCTGTCTAGAGAAATGTAAAAGAAACAAACAGCAGAAAAGAGAAAAAAAATAAAGCATGCTGGTGTTTTAAGTTAGCCATTGCTAAAATTATCAACAAATATTGTGTAACTACTCAAAATAACCATTTGAAGGTTGCAACAATCAAAATGCACTTCAAGAAAATGTTATTCATACAGATCTCAAATCATCATGTTCATCACATTGTACTGATGTGGGTGAAATCTAGCACCAAAACACTACTACAATATGTCGAATCAAAACCAGTAGCTGAGAAAAATGTTTTAAGTCAGAAATACATTTTTAAATGGTTATGTTCCTCACCTTGAAGAATGAGCCTCAAGAAACTGACGGAAATGTTCAAACTCCAGTTTGTTTTTCAGCAGATCATTAAAAGTAAAATGCCTGTATTCCACAGGAACATTATTCCAATATTCTGGGTTTTTAGAGACGTTAGAGAGTGATAAAACACCAGTTCCAATTTTACCAGTGGTATCCTAGTGAAATAATACTTTTCATAAAAATCTCTTAACACAAAAAATTATTTACAATTTTACATAAAGAAACTGAAAGAAAAATTAACTATCAGACCAAGACCATTTAACAAGTCAACAGCTGAACTGGGTAAAGACTCTAGGTGGTCTATGAGATTCTAACTTATATCAAATTCTGGTCTGTTCCTTTCCATTCTATTCCCTTCTTTTCATGAACATTTATAGTATATATAGTAAATATTTACTATATATAAAGCACTTGTTTGTAAAAAATTAATTTTACCATTTTTCTTAGTACAGAATATGTCTTTTGTCATAATAAGAAAATAAAAATCACACATAATACTACTTTTCAGAGGTAACCACCATTAACATTTTTGTATACATTCTTCCAGTCTTTTTTATATATGTACATGTGGGTAGTTTATTAAAAATGAAAATAGAGGCTGGGCGCAGTGGCTCAAGACCTTGTCTGTACAAAAACCCAAAAAATTAGCCAGGTGTGGTGGCATGTGCCTATAGTCCCAGCTACTCTGGAGGCTGAGGTGGAAGGATTACCTGAACCCAGAAGGCTGAGGCTGCAGTGAGCCATGATTGTGCCACTGCACTCCAGTCTGGAAGACAGAGTGGGACCCCAACTCAAAGGAAAAAAAGAAAAGAAAATAGGGTATTATGATGGTTACATAGTTCAGCAGACTGAATGGAAAGAGATTTACCATGTCTAATATAATTTTTAAAAAAATGAAGATAGGATTATGTACCTGTGTAAGATTATGAATATGTACCTGTGTATGGTTTTGTAACCTGTTTCTTTTTCTTAACTATATATCCTAAACATAAAACATTCTTTTATAACCTAGTTTTTAAAACTAGGTTTTAGTAATATTAGATACTTATAGAGCATCCTTTGAGTGTAATCACCTTCATATAAAAGTTAGTTTTTAGGTAATTTTAAGACCTCTGGCCTTTTTGAAGAGTTTACAAGCCCTAAAGAGCAAAGAATTAGAGAGGCTTATTCTTTGAAAGGCCTTTCCTTATATAATTAACCCATCTCCCTATTTGTTTTTGTAAAGTGTCCAACCATAAGATAAACGACCAATATTTTTTAAAATCAAATTTTTACTGCAGAAGGATAATTGAAGAGTGTTACAAAGTTTACAATACAACCTTATACACTGTATTGTGCTACCTTTATGGATTTCTGTGCATCCTTTTCAAGATTAATTAGTACTGTCTCAAATAGAGAACTTCTGTGTTAATAAAGCAACTATCATAAAGGTTACATTTTTAAAAATAACTACTCTTTTTTAAAACTTGTATAAGAACAAATATTTAAAACAGATACAAAGAGAAAAGCAAAATAATCACCTGCAACTCCATCACTCAGAGTTATCTTTAACATTTTGGTTAATATCTTCCCAGACATGTATTTTTGCATATGTGGAGACACATAGAAATACATATATAATTTTACATAAATAGGATCATACCACACCAGCATTTTTGTTTCATGTATTCTTATATAATAATATGTTCTAAACACTTTTCAGGCTATTAACTGTCATTTTAATGTAGGTGCACACATTATATTATATTTTATAGTTTTAAGAATCTATCATGGTTTACTTTGCCAAGCCAAAAGATGCAACTTCATATATCAAAATTACACTTTGATACGCTAATCCATCCTATGATCTCTTTACTGACTTCCCCAATTCCTTTCTATAATTTTTTCTTTATTGTTGTGCCTATTGCTGTCACAGAACAGTTTCTCTTCTGTTTAGAAAACTCTATTTAACTATTCTGTGACCTGATAACAAATAGAAAGAGCAGCTGTCATACAAAAAATAACTGGTAACATCCAAAGGAATGTTATTTGACTTGACAGCTCAATTGTCGGGTCTTAGCTAAGGCAAATGAGTGCTTTGGCTCCCTATGCTACCTGTCTGCTTTGTTTTTTTGGCTCTGCTGTTAAAAGCATCAGTAAAATATAACACCCGCAAATGTAGCATGCTAGGCAAAGGAATAGCAAAAAAATGAAACTGCCTGTCCCCTACTTTATAAATACACAGTCTCCTCAATATACAATCTCCTTCTCTCCAATATATAAAATAGCAACCCTCCCCAGGATAAAAATTTGTTTTTCAAAGTAGAAAGTTGTTTTACCTCAGATTTCTTGGGAAATGTCTCTTTATGCAAAGACTGTAGCTTACTGAAGTATGTGGAGTCTAGTTGTCGAGTTTCTTCTACCAGATCAACCTAAAAATAAATAAATAAATAAATAAAGCTTGTAACATCAATAGAAGGCATGACTTGCCAACAACAGTGGGGTAAAAACCAAATACAGCTGTCAATAAAGCAAATTATGTTGAAAGTTAAAGCAGGAAGACCAACATAGTTAAAAATATTAGCTAAGCAGGGTCATGCTCCAAATGCATGTGATAAAAATTGCACACATTTCTATGTAATGATATAGTGCCATTTCTTTTCTGGACACCCCATGTAAACTTGCAAACAATGCAAATATGTTGGTAACATTTCCCATTTCTACTCAATGTAACAGGATAATAGTCATGAAGGCAGATGCTGCTAGTTTTAGGGACCAAATAATTCATGGAAGAACAAGAAATGACCAGTCTCTATATTATTACTAGTCTGTGAGCAAAGACTTTATTGTTGTAGCAAGAAAGGAGACAGTCAATCATCAGATTAAACCTCAAAGCAGGTCTCAGCCTTGTAGAGTGCGTAATTCACTATTTTATATAGTCACGAGAGCAAGACCATTCTCTATTTCTATATTGCAAGGAAAAACCAGTTCAGCTGACTAGCTGCCTGAGAACTTTTGGTATTTAATAGCTAGCTTTGATAGTCTGCTTGGTTATCCGTTTTGGGAAAGAGTCTACATAATACAGTCAGCTGGACTTTAAAATAAGTCCTCTGGGTTGAATTTGAGGAATTTTCTAGAACTAAGATTTATTTTTCCTCTTATTAAAAACAGTGTATAATTTGTCCCATACATTTTAAAAGAATCATTACTAATACCAACTTTTTGGTTTAGGGAAATTAGTTATAGTTCCAGTTTTTTTTTTTAACTTCACAGGGCCATTTCCTCTATTTCATACACTATATTTAAAATAATATAGCTGAGTGTGGTGGCATGCACCTGTAGTCTCAGTTACTCGGGAGGTTGAGGCAGAAGGATCACCTGAGCCCAGGAGATCGAGGCTGCAGTGAGCCACTTGCTCTCCAGGCTGGGTAACAGAGTGAAAACCTGAGTCTAATAATCATAATAATAATAACAACAATAATGGACGAGCTCGGTGGCTCAGCCTGTAATCCCAGCACTTTGGGAGACCGAGGTGAGTGGATTGCCTGAGTCCATGGATTCGAGACCAGCCCAGGCACCTTGGCGAGACCTTGTCTCTACAATAAATTTTAAAAATTAGCCTGGCATGGTAGTGTGCGCCTGGAGCTCTGGCTATTTGGAAGGCTGAGGTGGAAGGATTGCCGGAGCCCAGTGGGTCAACATTCCAGCCTGGGAGATGGAGTGAGACTCCAGCTCAAAATAAATAAATAATCATGATAATAATAACGACAATAACTACAACAACTGGAGATAATTTTTTAAAATTTCATAAGACGTCCAAATTTTCCTAGTTTTTATAGTAAAAAGATGCTATGCTAAGTTTTCAGAACAAAGATAAATCAGGAATAAATTAGTCATTGAATTTAGTAAGCCATAAGAGTGGTTTCAGTCACAGTCCACCAAGGGAACTCTATCCAAGACGTTTTGAATAGAGTTATCTTCATCACCTAGCCTATATCCTTCCTGATAGAAGACATGACTATCTAAGATGCTGCTGAGGAGACATATAGAATAACAATACAAAGACAGCAGAATTCCACCTAAAATGACTCATGTACAGGGTACATGCATTAACTTAATATACAAAATATCCATGTATGGTTTTAGTCTGTGATTCAAAATAAATATTTAGAGAAATTTATCCCACCCATCACTATGCATAGTGAAAATATTCAAGCACTGAGGCTTAAAATGACCCTTTTCAGAATGAAAAAAGATGTCTTGAAACTTTTATCCAATCAAGCAGTCTGACCTGATGAACATCTGTGGTAGTTTTAAAATAGAAGCACTGAAGTCAGAGGATGTGCTTTTCGCAATACATATGAAACGTTTATATTTTCCATGGGTGTAATATTTACTGTAACTCATTCAGCATAAAATGGAATGCACTTTTTCCATTAATCTAAATTAAGATTACTGCTGAGAAGTAGTAAGAAGGGACGGCCAGTATATTATCATGGCATATTTTGCTGGTTCACAGAAATCCAAAACTCAGATTTCTCTCTTCTGACATATTTGTACAAAGAAAAAAAATGATATAGATTTGAGTCTTTTGTTAGGAGACGATAGGAAAGCTGGTGAAAAAGAAAGTTAATAAATACTTTCCCTGCCCCAATTTTGAGGCTGCCACTATCATAACTTGAAATCCCTAGCCCAAGTGAGACCTTTTCCAGTTTTTCCCTTGTGAGTTAGTGATGCTGCTTATCATTACTTTTTTGGTAAGCCTGAATGGTTCACGCACAGTTTATCAGTGCCACCATACCTTTCTGTAAGCAACTTGGTCGGATTTGACCATCTTTGTCCAGGGCTCAAGAAGGAGAAGAAGGATGTATTCTTCTGCTGTGTCAAAAAGGTCTTCAAATGGTGGTTGTATTTTCATATAAATTTCTTTTTTCTTTTCCTGTTGGAGTCCAATGTCAAGAGTGGCAGAAGGAGCAACGTATGTGGCAAAAAGATACTAAGGGAGAAGACAGAGGAACGGAGAGGATGTTGGGAGAAATCGCAATGGTTAGTAGATGCCTTCACAAAGACTTTAAAAAAACTAAGTGAAGGCAAAAAAAGCCCTAGTGATATTTTTTCTGGAAAGTATGGGTAAAACTACTTAAAACAAAGTAATGCATCTATTCAGAAGACTGTTTTTCCTTTTCTTTTCCTGTTTCTTCATTTGTAATTGATCAATTAGCCACTTTTTCTCAGATTACAGAAACCCTGAAGATGTACTAAGTATTATTATGATTAATTCAACATTATATTTTTCCCCTTATGTTCATGATGTTTCTAATACATTTGTATTACTTTCCAAAGTGGTTTGAAATGCATTTTTGGAAACAACAGGCAGGAATACACTAGGGCTGAAAAGCTGGCTATCGGTCCTCTAGTCTAAAGACCAGACTACTTGCCCTTCCTAATTGATCTGTAGAGTTCTTAAGACTGTTGCTAATTATCCCTTTCTGCTATAAAATCTCCCCATCTGGCATCCAATGCTGTGAAAGAAATACAGGAAAGGAACAAGTATGAAGAGAAAGATATACACAGAACTTCCAGCAAAGCTACCATAAGTGTCAGTTCCAGTCTACTATTGTCCTGTCTCTCAATAATAGCTAATTATATCTGAAAAGTAATTTAATAACAATTTTCCTTTTTAAATTTTGCATGCTGTATATGTCATTCCCTGAATATCAGATTTAAATGTAGTTTCACGAAGAGCCTCTCATTAATTATATTTTATTTTAATTTTATTTCATATATTTAGAATTTGGACCTGATAATGTCTAGATTCAACTCAGGATGGCTAGATAGACATAGATATAAATTTGTACCAAAGAGAAAATAATAGCCTTATTTAAAATAATCTTTTGAAAGTTTTAGAGGGTACATATTTATAACACAAGCATTTACTGAGCACTGCATCTACTGTGTCTTAGACACTTGGCTAGGTGCCAGGTTTGCAAAGCTCAGTGAACAACAATCCATGCCTGTCCTGAAGGAGGTTATAATGGTTATAATACAGTATAAGTGCTATAATAAAGGTATGTATTGCAAATAAGCTCTTAATAATTGCCCACACTTTCTTTTAAGCTCATCTCCCACTAATCACTTTCTGAATTTTACACTCAAATACCAAATTTTCTATGATTTCCTTAAACCTTGTTGTTTTGCCATTCCATACCATTGTATATATTATTCCTTCAGTCTTGGATATTTACTCTAACCCACACACCTTGTCTGCTTGATTAACTCTAATTTACTGTTTAAAATCAACATGAATTTCTCCCCCTCTAGGAAGCGTTCACTCAAACTCTCCTTCCAAGATCATACTTTCTGCTGCTGCACCTGTTACACAGTAATGCATTATGTATTTATGTGTCTTCTCTTCTGGACCGAGATCCTTGAGGGCAAAGAGTGTAGGGCTTACTCACCTGTGAATCTCCAAATCCTAAAACTGTCTTTGGCAGAAAGTAGCTGCCATAAACATGTATTGAATTGTACCAAATCCACAGAAAAGACTCATTTACGTACTGGAATGAGGAAGGAAAGGATTTTAGAAATCCTTCAGAGAAAAGATAATTCTTAAGCGAAATCTCTTTTCTTTTATTTTTATATACAGTTAGGATTTTGCTAAGTTGCCCAAGCTGGACTCAAACTCCTGGACTCAAGCAGTCTTTTCTTCTTGGCCTCCCAAAGTGACAGGATTGTAAGCATAAACTGTATCTTTAAAGATGAATTAAAGTCAGTCAGACAAGAGAAAAGCGTTGATGAGAAAGATAGTCCAAACAGAGGCAAAACACAGGCCAATACATGTAGGCCTACAGGGGCCTTAAAAACCCATGGAGAGATTCCAGGCTTCCAATAGGATAATACTGGTTAAAGCAGAGGGGTAGAATAAGAGAAGATGCTTTAAAATGAGGCAGGGACCAGAGAACCCTTTGTTAAGAAATTTAGATTTTACATAAAGATATGATGAGAAATCTCTGAAGGGTTTTAACTGAGAGGTGACATTATTAGACATGAATTTTAGAAATAAATCTCTATGGCATCAGGAAAGAGAAACAGTTTGAACAAGATCAATATTTGAGGCAGTTTAGAAGTTAACAGCCAGATAAGAAATTTGCCACTTCCTTGCTTTCTTTGCAGTCACCTCTTAACTGTCTTCCCAACTTCCTCTTTGTTTTCTTCCAGTCTATTCTTACCACAGCAAACAGATAAGGCCTTTGGCGCATTACTCCTCGGCTCAAACTCTCCAGTGACTTCCTATCTCACACATAATAAAAGCCAAAGTCCTTATAACTATCTATAAATGGAGGTTTTGGAAGTTCTGCAGTGCTGAAGAGACAAGGATTATAGTCCAGAACCTGTCAGTGTGGAAGTCCCTGTAAACACTCTAGACTCTCAAAACACCGAGAGCAGGACTGAAACTAGATATTGACTCCAGCCTTTAACGTGCCAAAACAAAGTAACTGCCAACCTGTAATTCTTTGTCCAGCAAAAATACCCTTCCAAAATGAAAACAAAACAAAGATGTCATAAATCAAAAGACAAAAACAGAGAATTCATCACTAGCCCAGACCTGTACTAAATGGAATATTAAAGGGAGCCTCCAGGCAAAAGCAGGATGGACTAGAAAACAATGGAAAACATAAATATGTAGGTAGATATCAATAAATATTGATTGTAAAATACAATAATAATACTGAATAAAGTCAGAGAAAAGTAAGAGACTGAGAAAGAGAAGTAAGAAAGATAGGTGGTAAACCAAGTCAGAGTAAGCTGCAGAAACCAAAGGAAGAGTTAGCTTAATGACAGAGACAGTAATAAAGTGTAAAGCATACACACATACACATACACACACACACACACATAAAAGAGGTCAAGTAAAATGAAGTTAAAGCAACAAAAGAATTGAAGGTGCTGGTTAAAGTACAATTGAAAATAATAATTTTTTTAAATGTTGTAAATATTTTTTGTAGAGACATGATCTTGCCATTTTGCCTAGGCTGGTCTTGAACTCCTGACCTCAAGCAATCTCTCACCTCGGCCTCCCAAAGCGTTAGGATTATAGGTATTAGCCACCGTGCCTGGCTGGGTTCAATAATTCTAAATTCACTTCAAAGTAAAGAAAATTCAACAACCCAAATCACTTAAGTTAAAAGTCAGTAGGTTAAATTTGAGCTGACATGTCCTCTAATGGCAAAATAAAGCAACTCTTTTTTTTTTTTTTTTTTTTGCAATCGCTACATTAGACGCTATAGTTTAAAAAGATCTGATGTGTTACATATCAAATTCTCTCACAGAAAGCAGGAAAATGCTTTTGATTTAAGAAAAAGGAGAACAATGAGGAGAGGAAGGTTGAAATAGTGACTAGAATAACAGGGACAGCTGGTAAGATTGTAAGCTTCTGGTGGACACCTGAATTTACTCCTTTTTCTTTCATTCCCAGTCTTGCCTTCACTCACTGTTTTATTTTTAAGAAGGCTGGGCATGGGGATCACAACTGTAGTCTCAGCATGTCGGGAGGCTGAGGCAGGAAGATTGCCTGAGCCCAGAAGTTCAAGACCAGCCAAGGTAATATAGTGAGACGGCGCCTCTCCAAAAAAAATCAAAAAAACTAGCCAGATGTCGCATTGTGTGCCTGTAGTCCCAGCCACTTGGGATGCTAAGGCAGAGGATCGCCTGAGCCTAGGAGTTGGAGACTACTATGAGCCATTATCGTGTCACTGCACGCAGCGTGGGCAACAGAGTGGGACCCAACTCAAAAACAGACACAAACAAATAAATAAATCATACATACATATATATGTATATATATAAAATGAACTAGAGAGGGGAGAGAGAAAAAAATGAACTAAATGATGGCACCTAAATGCAATTATTCACTGCCCTTCCACTTTGTTTCCTTACCACCACCTATCAGAACATTGTCCATTATCACCTAAGTAACTTCTCTTTGTTCAAGCATCAACCTCCAATATAATAACCAGCATAATCCTTAAGAGTAATAGACTCCCCCTACTTCCCTGATTCTTGAACTGTCTTACTTTAAAAAATCACAGAACTAGAAGCATTAGAGACTGGACTGGGAGATCATCCAACCCATGGTATCTCAAGCCTACATTATTCATATTTATTGTCTTCCACTGAGGCTGTCTCTGTGCTTCCTCACCTCCCCAGGGTGGTAGGGACAAAGGTGGTTTAGGGAGTAAAAATAAGAAAACTGAATTTGGTTATCTATCCTTTATGAAGCCACACAGTAAGTTTACAGTATGTTTAAACTGAATTATGGCATTAACATCTGCATGTGTCTTTTTAACAACCCAGGGCACTCTATAAGTGGTTAACTGACAACTATATATAGTAAATACAAGAAATGTAATATATACATATATGATATATATGACATATAATATCATATATATGAAACAAAATAAAAAAGACAAACACCTTTAAAATCTGAAAACTTTTATAAAATAATTAAAATCATGTTTAAGTGTATGTAAACTGACTTTAAAACAAAATATAGACTATACTATATATACCTAAATCATATAGTCTAATTATGGGTTAGAAACACAGCTTAAATATTCTGGGTCATTTTCTTTTTTATTGGCCACCCAGTTCTTCCTTTCTGGCCACGGGAGTAAGTAACAATGTAGCTCATGTTGGAGAAGAAAACACTCCCTTCATATTCCAGTCCACTATTCTGATTCACATTCAAGCAAAGATTCACTGCGTATACAGCTGTGGCCGTCATGATTCCAATTTAAACATTAACCTATGATGCTTTAACAACCCAGTAGAAACACTTTTGAGAAGGGATACAAGCACTGCCTGTCTGTGATCAGACTGCCTGGCACTGCACACAACATGCCTTTAAACTTCATCTCTCCTGGAGACACTCAAAGGTTATATAATCAGGAAATGCACAATGGGCGGCTTGCCCTGCACCTCTCTACACCTGTG